GTGAGAATGAAATGAAATAATATGTGTAAAATGCTTAGCCCAGTACCTAGCATAGAGTAAAAAGTTAATAAATTATTCCTTCCCTTTCTACTTCTTTACCTCTATCCCTCCTTCCTTCCTTCCTTCCTTCCTTCCTTCCTTCCTTCCTTCCTTCCTTCCATTCTTCTTTCCTTCCTTCCTTCCTTCCATTTTCCTTCCTTTCTTCCTCCCTTCCTCTCTTCCTTAATTCCTTTGATCATCAACATATTGAATCAAGAATAAACCAAACAAACAAACAAATAAACAAACAACACAACTCTTTCCATTGCAGATATGACAGTAGTAAATCTAACAAGCTATCTGTTTCTTGTTGTTTGTTATTGTTGCTATTAAATATGTCTTGTTGAATTAAGTAGTCATGTTGAAGGTAGTGGGAATATTGAGTGTGAAATCAATGAAGAAGAAAGAAAAAAACAGAACAATAATGCATTAGACTAGACAAGAATCTTCTGAATTCTTGGCTTTTTTTCCCTTTGTTGACTTTAAATTCAGTATCTTTTTAATGCATCATTGAATTACTCTGGCTTTCCTTCTATCAATATTATAATTCCATAAGTCTAAATTAGAATAATAAAGTGCTAGTGATGAGAAAGGCCTTAGAGAATAAACTGCTAGAGCTAGAAGGGATCTAATACTGAAAAATATAACTTTAAATTTTGATGGAGCCCTATGTAATAATGCATAGAATATTTAATTTGTAAGGGTCTTTGGAAATCATTTAACAAAATCCATTTTTAAACAGATAAGGAGACATTGTAAAAATTCAAAAGGTGGAGAAATCATTATAAGTTGGGATAGCAGACGTGTAAGTTGAATAGTGAAGATAATGAAATATGTGATGATGGCAGTTTTATATTTTATGACTTCTTCAATCTTTAAAGTTATTTTTTCATAAAATTAAAATTAGTTGTTCAGGAAGATTTAATTTTGTTTTAGTTTAAAATTCTGATTATCCTGTTTTGAAAGATTTCTCTGTGAAGAATGGAAAACATACTGTTCCCCTGTCAGTATACATACATAACTAGGTATGTATATATGCATGTATACAAACATAACACACATAGATCCATATATCTATATCTATCCATTACAAACTTCTTAAGAAGTTAAAGAAGTATTCTTCTATTGAAATTTGAATAGGATATGATAAAAGTTAATGCCATAACTACACATTATTCCTCACCTTTCTCTTCTAAAAAAGTTATTTTCTTCCATTGAAGTCATTTCAAATCTAGTTGTAGCAACAAGAAATATCTCTATTTTTTGTAATTTTTATTTACTTTAAACTTAAATATAAAATGAGAAAAATAAAAAAGAATATTTCCACATACACAAAAGAATATGATGATTCAATATAAAACTATAATAAATTTCCACTTCAAGAAAACCCGAATAAAAGATACTACATCGTTTTCAAATCTACCCAGATTTTTTTTTTGCTTCCTTCACAATTTTCTTTCTGTCTCTGCTATTCACTTTTTGCTATTTTCTTTCTCACTCCCTCCACCCCTGCCCTAAAGGAAGTTACAATTATTAGGTCCACAAAAATTGGGTCCACATCTTTCCAGGTTTTTTTCCCCCTAAATCAATCACATCATTGTTTCCTACACCACAGTAGTGTTCCAACACAATCCCATCCTATCTGAGAGATTTTCTATGAAAGTTGTTCCCCCACTTTTCTGCATTCCATCTATTCTTGGCTATATTGTTTTTATTTATATGAAAATCATTAATTTAAAGTAATCTATATCATTCATTTTAAACTTCATTAATGTTCTTGTCTTATAATATAGTTTAGGGACTGATATTTCTGAACTCCTTCCTTTACTTCTTTTACCCCCAAGTTTCTTTGAAATTCCTAACCTTTTGTTCTTCCAAATGAATTTTTTTATTATTTTTTCTAGCTATTTTAAGTAATAGTGATGGCATCGAAAAAATAGATTTATTAGTTAAGAAGTATCATTAAGTAAGGGAAAGTGACATACTTGCCATGTTGCACAGCATCTCACAACTCAGGTGTAATCTGTCTGCTTTCTACTCGATATTTCATTTACTTTCTGGGTGAGTCAAGATTGATTATTGCATACATTGATCTTAGTTATTTTACCTTTTAATGTCATTTTCCTTTAGATATTGTGGTCATTATGTTTATTGTTTTCTTGCATCTACTTATTTTATAGAAATTCATATGTTTTCCCATCCTTCTGAGTCATTCAAAATGATGTTTTATCGTATCTTCCCATTATATTAATGGTCCCAAAATTACTGTCACCCCTAATGAAAGAAAATCCATTTATTTTTCCTAATAAAAAGTATATAACCATTAATATTGTACGTATATGTATACACATGCACATGTATACATGTTTTTAGCATTTTAGTTTTTTTTCTTAAAACAAAACAAAACAACAACAAACTAAATAGTGTGACCTGTATTAAGATATAGAATATCCTTTAATAAGGAGGTGATATATTCCCCAGATACTCTGTCCTACTTTTACCATATCTGGTGTATTGGGTTCAATTCTAGTTCCCACAATTTAGAGAGGAGAGGTAACCATGTGGAGCATGCCACACCAACACCAACTATGAGGAGCAGAAAATCAGGACTATTGGAGAAAATAACTGGTAATTTTCATGGTCTCTCAGCCTTTACAGCATCATGGGAGAATTTGAGGGAGGTTAAAAGAAATAGTAGTAATATCAATGAAGATTTCATTTCAGAACATTCTCAATATGGAAACTAGCCTGGCAAAAGTGGAAGGGCAAAAATAAGCATCATTTAATGGCAACAGTCATGGGTGGGGAAAGATACTAAATTTCACTACTACTTGTTTCTTCTCCCAATGCCACATATAAAGCATGGGACTACTATACTCAGTTGCTTCCATTCCTCTGAAAGTCAGCATAGTATATAAATGAGATCTTTGTGGTCTGAAAACTGGGGTTCATTTACCTTCTATGAGCCTTAGTTTCCTGGAATTAGCCAAAAGATCATTGAGCTAGATGACCTTGAAGGTCCCTTTTATGTCTATAGTATGTTTTATTGGAATCTTATAGTGTGGGCATAAATTTTAGATGATAACGTCATGAATAACTTTGAGATACAAAATTCTTACTAATTATTCCACTGGAGATCCAGTTCTGGTACCCTATGTCAATCTAAAATTCATAGTAACAATAATTTAAAAAAATGCTTGAGCTAGAACGTACAATATCATGTTCGAATGCTCCATGCCTTGAATAGAATAAACAATGTCACTTTTTTTTTTTTGTTCTGGAATTTGTTATTCTTAGTACAGTGCCTGGTATACATGCTTAATAAATGTTTATTGATTGATTAATGATAGCTTAATACTTATTTGCTAATTTTTAAACTGAAGATACTATTAAAACCAAGAATATAGGTTTAAAAATTACAACGCAGTGATGCCTTCAATTTACACATAGCTTTAAATTCAAGATGACACACTCTTCATTCCGTAAGCCAGATACATCCCTCATTAAGAGAAAAGTTAAAAAGAAAATAAAAATTTAAATTAAACTAAATATCACATCAACCAAAGCTTGATAGCCAATGTCCCATGCCCATAAACGTCCACAATTTCTTTTCTTTTCTTTTTACTTAATAGTATTTTATTTCTTTCCAATTAGATGCAAAGATAGCTTTCAACATTCACTTCTATAAGATTTTGAGTTCCAATTTTTTTTCTCCCTCCCTCTCCTCTCCCTTTCCCAAGACAACAAGCAATCTGATATATCTTACACATGTACAATCATGTCAAATGTACTTCAACATTATCTGTGTTATGAAAGAAGAATCAGAACAAAAGCAGGAAGGCATGAGAAGCAAATGAAAATAATACACTTTTCTCTGCATTCATACTCCATAGTTCTTTCTCTGGAGGTGGATACATTTTCCATCATGAAGTTTTTGGAATTGTCTTAGATAATTGTATTGCTGAGAAGAGCTATGTCTATCATAGTTAATCATCACACAATTTTGTTGTCACCGCATACAATGTTCTCCTGGTTCTGATCACTTCACTCAACATCAGTTCATGTAAATCTTTCCAGGTTTTTCCTGAAATCTGCTTGCTCATCATTTCGTATAGAACAATAGTATTCCATTACATTTGTATACCACAACTTGTTCAAACATTCCCTAACTGATGGGCATCCTCTCAATTTTCAATTCTTGGCCACCACAAAAGGAGCTTTATAAATGTTTGTATGTGTGGGTATTTTATGATCTCTTTAGGATACAGACCTAACAGTAGTATTGCTAGATCAAAGGGTATGCACAGAACTTCCACATTTTCAAAGAAGGAAGAAAGGTGTATCTATTTATCTCTTCTTTGGGGCTAAAATTGTGATTACAACCTCATGGAGTTATGGGATTTTTGTTGTCATTTCCATTAACATTACTATAGTCATTGGATATATCATACATCTGATTTTACTCCTTCCATTCTTCATCAATTCATTAATTTTCCCATATTACTCATAATACTTTGTGTGAAATTTTTATAGCACAGTAATGTGCTGTGACATTCTTGTAATACAAATTGGTGTATCATTCACTACTCAATGCATATTTTTCCCTAGACAGCTCTATTCTAAAACAAATAAAACAAAACAAAATATTTCTGAAAGTAGTAAACATGGGACCCTTTTCTTTATTTTTTACTTCCTTAGAGTGCCTAAAAGTGGTATTTCTAGGACAAAACATATAGATACACTACTAATATTTTTAAAAAAACCATAATACCATATTTATTTTCATAACAGTTGGACCAATTCATCAACAGTGTACCTCCCTTTCTGAAACTCTTACAATATTTTCTATGTAACAGAATGTAACTACTGAAAAGAATCCTATGGATCACTTAATGCAAACCCTTTATTTTACAGGGGCAGTGATTTTCCTGTCAGAAATTCATTACTTCCATTCATGGAAAATGAAGAAAAATATAGGAGGATCAAATCTCACAATCATGGTGGGATTCATTCTTTTGGGATTTTCTGATCTTCCTAGGCTTGAGGGTTTTCTTTTTGTGCTATTCTTGATCATCTACATGAGTGTCCTAATAGGAAATGGCCTTATTATTTTCATCACCAGGACTGATCCTACTCTCCAAACACCTATGTATTTTTTCATTGTAAACTTTTCCTTCTTAGAAATCTGTTACACATCAGTAATTTTACCAAGACTGCTGACAAACCTTTGGAGCCAGAGAAGAAATATTTCTTTCCTTGCTTGTGCTATACAACTTACTTCCTTTCTTATTATGGGAGCCACTGAGTGTTTCCTACTAGCTGTAATGGCCTATGATCGTTATGTGGCCATCTGTAAGCCACTCTCCTATCCTGTTATCATGAATCACAATACATGTATCAAGCTGGTGGTTGGCTCCTGGATTGGTGGGATTCCACTCCAGATAGGACAGACATACCAGATTTTCTCTTTGCGCTTGTGTGGTTCTAACAAACTTAATCACATATTCTGCGACATCCCACCATTGCTAAAATTGGCATGTGGAGACAGTTCTGTGAATGAGTTTTCTGTCTATGCTGATGTCCTGATCTTAGCCATGATTCCCTTTCTATTGATACTATGGTCATACAGCAAAATCATTAACACAGTCCTAAAGATGTCATCAGCCACTGGAAGATCCAAAGCATTTTCTACTTGCTCCTCTCACCTCATTGTTGTAGGCTTATTCTTTGGGTCAGCTATCATAACATATTTGCGACCCAAATCCATTCATTCAGCGGAAGCAGACAAAATTCTCTCTCTTTTCTACACAATCGTGACTCCCATCTTTAACCCCATGATATACAGTCTGAGAAACAAAGACGTCATTGTTGCACTAAAGAAATTATTACCAAAGTGATTACATTCAGGATGTAAATAATAGAATTTTCAAAGCCTCATTTCATCTCCATTGTCACACAATTATTACACAAATTTTGCTTCAGTCTTTTGTCCTACCCCAAAGTGAAACTTCTCAGATCTGGAAACAAGATTCTTGGAGAGGAGATGAACAGATACATACACATGGAACTGGCAGGACTACAAAGGACAGAACCACAATCTGAAGGAATAAAACTGAAATTTAAGATTTTTCCAACCATGAAGTAAAGAAAATGGAGGTCTGACTAGTTTGGCCTCTCTAGCGACACAAGCTTGTTTTCCTTTTTGCAAGTCACTAAACCACTAGTAACTAACATTTAACTGGAAAGTGAAATGAAAAACCACTTCATCATCATTGCCAAGAAAACTCCAAATGGAGTCACAAAAAATTGGCCATGACTGAAATGACTTAACAACAACAACAACAACAAGAAGGAAATTCTCAGTGTGGAAGGTCCCTTGCCCAGGGAAGATTAGAAATTAGTCTAAAACTTATCTTCTTAAAGAGGTGCCTATGGCTCTGGAAATTACATTATTTGTTCAAGGTCACACAGTCTATGTGTATAATAAGAGGCAAATGAACTATTTCCTATATGATACTGTGTCTCTAGGTGAATTAGTAATCATAATACTATTACTACTACTATGACTACTTCTGTGACTACTCCTACTCCTCCTACTCCTACTAAAAGTAGTAGGAGTAGGAGGAGGAGGAGTAGTAATAATAATAGTAATAATAATAATAACAAATTTAAAAAATCTATAGCCAATGAGTGAGTGATAAACAGAATGGGAAAATTATTTTTTGACTTGCTAAAACTCAAATAAATGATGGCAGATAAAAATACATGGAAAAATAGATTTTACATGGTGCTCACACACTTTTCTTTATTCAATGTTATAGCTTCCTGTTAAGGATATTTGGAGTACAATTTTTTTCAGTTTTTTTTTGAAGGGAAGGGGATTTTGACCAACAAAGTTCAGAGATCTGAGACTATTTAGGAAAGCAAGTTAATTTTATATTGATAGCAGAAAACTCTGAATGATTAATCAAGAGGACTCTTAGTCAAGATTGACATTAGTCAAGGTCTGCATGGATTATAATGTTTTTGAAAGCTATAGCATATGATTGAAGTGTATTGAGTAAAGCTACTGGCCAATAGATTGTTGGTGGATTCACTCTTACCCTCTATAAAGGGTAGGATAGGAAAAAAAAATTTTAAAAATCCCAGCTAATGTGAAAATGATTATATAATCCTTAATATTACTATTTTAGAAACTACTTCTACTGATTAAATTAGTCATAATGAAAATAATATTTAAATTTTATTTTAATCATTAGTAAGAAATGGAACAGAATATATCAAAATATTCATTGTTTGTAGTCTTCCGGTACTCTTTTTATGGTTATCTTAACTTTCATCCTACATATATTGAGCCTATAACACTCTTTGAAGAATTATTCCTCAAATCAATTTAATTAAATTTAGTTTTCTCCTCAGAATCTAATGATTTTAGAAATGGAATGAACATCAGTGCATAAAACATAAGACATCATTATTTAAAGGAAGATTGGAGATAATCTATGCATACTAAGTTTTTTATAAAAGAGAAAACTCAATCCTGGAGTTCAGAAGAGGGAGTGATAATTGCATGTTGGAGAAAATAAGACATACAACGAACACTTGAATATAAGAAAAGATTGGGTTGCAATTTTAGCAATTTTATGCTTTTTTCTGTATATTGATATAAACTATGCTGAATAATAAACTTGTTTTAGAATTTTTGCATAATTAGTGTCACATACATTATGTTTGTAGTATACATAATGCTATAATGCCATAAGGAGTTTTAGTCAGTTTGCATTCTTATCTGGAAACTTCATTGGGCTTTCATTTTCAATTTTTGTTTCACTTTTTATGATCTTAGAATATTCATTCTTTTCTTCTTGTCCTGAATAATTCTCTCATGTTTTCATTAAATAATTTCCTTATTACTCTTGATTCTTTATTTTTTTCCTTTCTTAATTGTATTAAAACATTTTTAGAAAGAAAAGTAACATACTTCATGCAATTACAATCTTGTTCTTTGACATTTTTTCATCTTACTGATTTTCCAGTTCTGATAATTTGCAATTCCAAAAGGACATGAAAATCTTCAAATAAAAACTATTTTGTTATTCTTCTTAAATTACCATTTCAATGTATATATTGCCAATAATCACATAATCTACATCATTTTGATAATTTTTACTCTACTGTACTTTGATGTAAAGATTGCTCTCCAAAATGAGTCTACATGTTTGAAATTTCATTAGAAATCAAAGAACATACCTATTTCTCTTGACTCCTGCCAAAATTGAATTTTATTCCTTCTCAAATATATTTGCAAATTTGATGGCTATGAAGTATTATCTTAATATGGTTTTAATTTACATCTTTGATAGATACATTTGACAGGATGCATACTAAGAGTGTGTGTGTGTGTGTATTATTCATATCCTGCAATGGGCTTGGATCCTCCATTGAAGTTTTGCTGCATTTCAATCATTCTCATAATTATTGCTGTGTGTAAATGGGCTATTTCTCTTCAGTCCAATTCACAACTATTTAATATTTTTCTTTGTTTATTTTAGTTTCTTTTTCTTTCTTTCTTGGTCTTCACTGGTATTGAATAAAAACAAAATGTATTTTGTACATTTTTCTCAAGCATGATTTTTTCTTAGTACATAAATTATTTCATTTGATATTTTGTTCAGAAAATTAGATTTTCTTGAAATGCTATCCTTTTTTTAATAGTAATTTTTATTTATTTTTTTGTTTTCAACATTTATTTCCACAAGATTTTGAGTTCCAAATTTTCACCCCATCTTGACCCTCCCCCATCCCAAGATGGCATGCATTCTAAATACCCCTTCCCCTAGTCTGCCTTCCCTTCTATCTCTCCCCCCCTTCTCTTATCCCCTTCCCCTTTTATTTTCCTGCAGGGCAGGATGGATTTTTGTACCCCATTTCCTGTATTCCTTATTTTCCAGTTGCATGTGAAAACATTTTTTTAAACGTGTGTTTTTAAAACTTTGGGTTCCAAATTTTCTCCCTTCCTCCCACCCCACCCACCCTCATTGATAAGGCAAGCAACTAAATATAGGTTATATATGTGCAGTTTTCAAAACACTTCCATAGTGGACATGCTGTGAAAAGCCAACTCCATTTCCCTTAATCCCATCCTGCCCATCCATTTATTCTATTATTTCTTTTGACCCTGTCCCCCCTCAGAAGTATTTGTTTCTGATTACTCCCTTTCCCAATTTACCTCCTCTCTATCATTCCCCTACTGTCTTGTCCCCTTCTCCCCCTATTTTCCTGTAGGGTAAGACAGATTTCCACACCCAATTGAGTGTGTATGTTATTCCCTCCTTAAGTCAAATCCTATGAGAATAAGATTCACTGATTCCCTCTCACCTTCCCCCATTTCCCCTTCACCATAAGAGCCTTTTCTTTTCTGTTGTTTTTTTTTGTGGGATAATTTACCCCGTTTTACCTCTCCCTTTCTCCTTCTCCTAGGATATTCCTCTCTCACCCCTTAATTTTATTCTCCAGATATGACCCCTTCATTTTCAACTCACCCTGTGCCCTCTACCTATATATCTATATCAATATATAGGTACATATAATTTTTTCCCTCCAACTACCCTAATACCGACAAAGGTCTCATGAGTTACAAATATCATCTTTCCACATAGAAATGTAAATAGTTCAATCTTAATAAGTCCCCTATGATTTTCTCTTTCCTGTTTACCTCTTCATGTTCCACTCGAGTCTTGTATTTGAAAATCAAATTTTCTATTCAACTCTGGTCTTTTCATCAAGAATGCTTGAAAGTCCTCTATTTCACTGAATGACCATGTTTTCCCCTTCAGGATTATACTCAGTTTTGCTGGGTAGGTGATTCTTGGTTGTAATCCTATCTCCTTTGCTCTCCGGAATATTATATTATATTCCATGCCTTGCGGTCGCTTAATGTAGAAGCAGCTAAATCTTGTGTTATCCTGATTGTATTTCCACAATACTTGAATTGTTTCTTTCTGGCTGTTTGTAACATTTTCTCTTTGACCTCCAAATTCTGGAATTTGGCTACAGTATTCCTAGGAGTTTTCCTTTGAGGATCTCTTTCAGGAGGAGATTGGTGGATTCTTTCAATTTCTATTTTTCCCCTCTAGTTCTAAAATATCAGGGCAGTTTTCCTGGATAATTTCTTGAAAGATGATGTCTAGGCTCTTTTTTTTGATCATGGCTTTCAGATAGTCCAATACTTTTTAAATTCTCTCTCCTGGATCTATTTTCCAGGTCAGTTGTTTTTCCAATGAGATATTTCACATTGTTTTCTAATTTTTCATTCTTTTGGATTTGTTTTACAGTGTCTTGATTTCTCACAAAGTGACTAGCTTCCAATTACTCTATTCTAATTTTTAAGGAAGTATTAAGCTTTTGGACTTCCTTTTCCATTTGGTCAATTTTGCTTTTTAGGGCATTCTTCTCCTTGTTGGCTTTTTGGACCTATTTGCCACTTGGGTTAGGCTATTTTTTAAGGTGTTATTTTCTTCAGTTTTTTTGGGTCTCCTTTAGCAAGCTGTTGTCTTATTTTTCATGATTTTCTTGCATCACTCTCAGTTTTTCCTCTACTTCTCTTACTTGCTTCTCAATATCCCTTTTGAGCTCTTCCAAGGTCTGGGACTGATTCATATTTTTCTTGGAGGCTTTGGATGTAGGAGCTTTGGCTATGTTGTCCTCTTCTGGTTGTATGTTTTGATCTTTGTCACCAAAGTAAGATAATATAGTCTGACTCTTTTTGGGATGCTTACTCATGATCCTGGCCAATTACTTGAGTTTTAAACTGCTTATTAAGGTAAAAGTCTGCTTCCAATGCGAAGAGTGTACTGTCCCAAGCTTCGGGGGTTTGTACAGCTGTTTTCAGAGGTAC